CTCACTTTGTAGACCAGACTGACCTCGAACTCACATAGATCCTCCTCCCAGCTCTGCCTCCTGAGTGCTGGGATTAAAGATGTGCACTACTACTGCAGGCTTCTTAGACACTTTCCATTAGTTTCACTGACCAGAGTAAAGTCCCTACTTCACATCCTGGTACTCCAGGGTCTTGAGGCAGACTATGCTTCCTGTCAGCCGCTTTCTGGCTTCACCCATGAGGCACTCCCACCTCGCTGAGTGGTTTTAAGCGCCCGCCATGTGCCTTTCATATAGCGACCCAGCTGGCTGTTACTTCTCCTCCCTCCTATTGCATATTTCACACGCTTGTCTGGGAACTAGCCCCTCAAACTCTTCTGATCACTTGTGTCTGGTTTCCAGAACCAGAAAGGGTCTAGTCCTAGGGGTTTCTGGAACTTTCTGCTAAAGAATGAAAACCAGATGAATGGGAAGGAGGAGGACGTAGCCCAAATTCTAATAGGTCTTGTCTTAATAACAAAGACCCGGAGTCAGATATTAGAGGGGGAAGCTGAAAGATCAGAGAAGCAAAGCAGCCAGCCACTAGCTCTTACCTCTACCTCAGACCAAATGTGCAGTCCTGTCTCCACGAATCCTCAGACTGACTGCCCAGACTGCTGCCTCAGACTGCCTTGAGCTCCTGTCTCCTCCCACCTTATATTCCTCTCTCCACCCAGCCATATCACTCCTGTCTCCACCTCCCTAGTGCTGGGATCACCTTTGTTGAGCTCTGTTTCTCTTTTAGCCTAGATCAATTTTGGGTAGCCCAGAGTGGCCTTGAACTAATAGAGATCTGTCTGCCTCTGTCTGCCAAGTGCTGGGATTAAAGGTGAGTACCACCACTGCCTGGACTCTATGGCTAAACAGTGTGGCTAGCTCTGTGCTGTGATCCTCAGGCGAGCTTGCTTCTATTTGTTACATCACAAAATACCACCACAGGAGCCCAATGCCTAGCTAAGTACTTTAGGACCCAGTCTCACCTTAATCTCACTGAAGGTGCCCAGTGTGTGGTCCCATGCAGGAACCAGGTGGTGCAGGACACTGTCCAGGATCTTAATGAATCTGTGGTGATTCGTAAAGATAAAGAGTTTAGCATGGAGCCGGGCATTGGTGGTGGTGGTGCATGCCTTTAATCCCAGCACTAGGGAGGCAGAGGCAGGTGGATCTCTGTGAGTTTGAGGCCAGCCTGGTCTACAGAGCAAATTCCAGGACAGCCTCCAAAACAATACAGAGAAACCCTGTCTCAAAAAAAAAAAAAAGTTTACTATAGAGCTGGGCATTGGTGGCACATGCCTTTAATCCCAGTACTTGGGAGGCAGAGGCAGGGTGATCTCTGTGAATTCGAGGTCAGCCTAGTATACAAAGTGAGTTCTAAGACAGCCAAGGCTACACAGAGAAACCTTGTATCAAAAAACAAAATAAACAAACAAAAGGAGTTCAGCATGAATGTAAAACCCCAGTCTTTAATCCACAGGAATGGAAGTGATGATCAGGAGATACTCTGGTCCTCAAAGCAGAGTAGCTTATTTTTACCAGACTTTGGGGCCTCCTCTATGCAGATTCCCAAGGCTTAGAGAGGGGAAGAGAGGCCTGCAGGGCCAGGACCATGGGTACCTCTGCAGAAGAACAGCTCTTCGGTACAATATTTCTGGGTCAGTGCCTTCTAGGCGTGGATATCGCACCAGACTGGCTGGCTGGAACAGGTCTGCATTCAAGCCTAGTTCCCGCTGTCTAGAGGATTTGATCTTGACTCCTCGAAGACGAACATCAATTCCATCGTCTGAGGGAAGGGGTCAGAGTATGGTCATTTTCTGTGACTGAAGCTTTCTGGGCCCTCAGACCTACTGGGAATGGCTCCTTAAGGGTTGTCATTTTGTCACTACTAGCCTGTAGAGGCCTCAGAGGTTCTACTCCATGACTCTGATATTTATATGTTCATTCCCCCTCTATGCTGCTGGGATGCCTGTGATCCTAACATGGTCCTTTTCTAGATGAGCCCAACTACCCCTATGACCTTAAGGTTGGCGTATATCCATCTCTGGTCCCATAGCTTTACCCTAACTCCAAGTCCATTCCCTTCTCTCCATACTGTCAGCTTGCCCCGTCTACATTCTGGGATTCCTTATAGCCTTAAGCCCACCTCGACACTCAACGATTCGGATCTCGATGATTGGAAGGTGGACAGTCATGTCCTCCAAGACACAGACATCCCCAATCAGAGTCCTAGGAGACAGGTATAAAGCAGTCAGACACTTGCTGCCTTAGGCCTGCAGGGACCTCTGGGCTTCCGTCCGAGCTGAGCTTGGCCCCACTGCTAAGATCATGCGTCACTTCCCACCCCAGGACGGCTTGCTCACTCGTCAATGTTCACGTCACTCAGCTTCTTCAGGTTGTCCCCTTCACCCCCATAGACCACTACGCGCTTAGGCATGAAGTTGTCATCTGTCGTGTCCACTGTGAGTAGCAGCTTCCTGAGGGTTCAGAGTATGTGTCTGAGTGAGTGTCTAGGTACCCACAGCGCATGGCTCACCCATCCCGTCCTGCCCAGGGCCTACTCACTTGACAATTGTGCCTTTTTTCATGGTAAGCCGTACCCAGTGTTGGCACTGGGACCCATCGCTCTCCCAGTAGGTGTCTGCATTGCTATCTGTCAAGCAGGACACATTGAACTCCTCCTAGGGTAGGGGCAAAAAGGCAGAGTCACATTTGGACTGGGCGGTCGAGTTGGGGTACGTGCGGGGTAGGAAGGGTGGTTTGGCAACGGGAGTTCTGGGCCTAGCATTGAGGAGTGTGGAGCCATAGGAGTCTCAGCACCCACCGTGTAGGAGGAAACATCTATGCTCTCCACATACTGCTTCACACTCCCCAGGTTCTCGTCTTCCTTGCCCAGGTGGTCATATAGGAAGTGGATCAGGTCCTCGTCGCACTCATATGTCCACGTTGGGGGCACATAGCTAAGCAACCCCAAACCCCCAATTAGGCTGGGTTCCGGCCCTGCTCCCTCCTCTTCCACCCCACTCCAGATAACTCACAGCAGCCTCTGTACCGCTTCGGTGTAGGCCTCTGCAGGCTGAGGCCTGGACCCCAGGCGATGTGAGTATGTCAGGTCCACCACCTGTTCCCATCTGTGGCCACAGAGTGGGGTAAATGAGGCACGGGCAACAGGACACCACCTCCAAGACCTAAGCCTTCTCCAGAGTTCTACCGAAAGCCTTCAGAGGCCCACCCCACCCCCTTCAGGTTCATCTCTGCCTGCTCTTGCCACAGCTCCACCTCGAAATCGCATACAACCCAGGGTTTGGATTTGGGTTGTGTTTCCAAACCCTCTGCCCCACCGGATACCAAGTTGCGTTCTTTCGATTGCAGGACCTGAGCACAGGGCGGTAGTCTACACCGAAGAGCTGCTGCTGCCGCTGCAGGTGGTCCGGAGTGTCGATGGGTACAAGGCGGGCCCCGCCCTCCGCCGGGCGACATACCAGAAGCCAGCCTTCGTCCAGTCCGCAGTCACTCAGGTGTTCGGCAAGCTGCTCCTGCAGGGACGTGCCAGATGGGGACAGCCGTCAGGGGACAGATGTCAGGGAACAGCTCAGCTGCTCGCCCAGCCCAGTCCAGGGCAAAGAGCACCGAAAGCAAGATCAGCTCACTATGGGAAACGGGGGCGGAACAACCAGGGCTTTGGCTGGATCCAGAGGGTCTTTTGCCTAATCCCAGCCAACTGGGGCGCACCTTGGTCAACTTCACCCAGAGGCCGTGGCCGTTGCACAGCTCCTCGCCGGTGGTGCGCACACAGGCGCCACGCCGGAGCTCAATACTGTCACGGGCGGCGCGCAGCGGTCCCGAGCCGGTGCCCGGGGCAGGACCCGCGGCACCCACACGCAGCCCCAGGCCCTCTGCCTCCCACACAGGCAGCAGCACGCGCGACGGTCCCGCCGGGTCCTTGTAAAGCTTGTAGAGCACCTCTCGCGGCACGAAAGCCAGCGCCGCGGGCAGAGGCAGCCCGGCCCGGAGGTTCCGCGCCGCCTCCGCTAGGAAGCGTACGCGGCCCAGGAGCTGTCGGGGGGACTCGAGCGCAGCTCCCGGGCCAGGGCCAGCCATGGTGAACCTGCTGAGGTGAGACTCGTCCAGGGAAACTCTGCCCCCCAGCAGCAGGACAGCAAGTCAGCTTCCCACCACGCCCTGCCCCGCCTACCACCCTACTGTGCCGTATGTTTTGGATTAAGTGCACAGCCCATTTCCACCAAATGGTCAGGTGTACTCTGACATTTCACGATAGTCCCTTTTTTGTGACCCCGTCCCCGGCTAATTCAACCAGACTCAAAATTAGACTCCTAAGGGAGGGGATCGTTATGTAGCACAAGCTAGTTTCGAGCTCGCGATCCTCTCACTGGCTTTATTCAAGCTAGCGCTACTATCCTTATTCTAGACACTGTTAGATCTACCCTGGATCACTGCAACTACAAATTTTCTGGTGCTTTAGCCTCCTGTTTTTTGTCCCCCGCCCCCGACAAATATTACAACTGGAGTTTTTGTTGTTTGTTTGTTTTTGTTTTTCGAGACAGGGTTTCTCTGTGTAGCCATGACTGTCCTGGAAACCACTATGTAAACCAGGTTGGCTTCGGACAAACCTCAATTTCTGGTTTCCCAAACGAATGGTAGAGCAGCCCCGTCTTGCTCAGCTCTCTATGGTTCCCCGCAACTATTAGTGAATAAAGTAAATATAGAGCGAAAAAACTTGGGTTCCGTGTACAGCCTTTTGCAACATTCGTTTGCCAGACTACATCGTTAGACTCGTGGATGGTATGAAAGCGAGACTAAATCTTCGGGATTTCCAGATCACAGATGAGAATATTTTCTCATGGCACCTTAAGATGTAACGAGAAGTCATTTCTTTGGGTCGTTTGTTACTGCGTTGCAATAATGGACTTTACGGTGAAACATTGTTGGGGTCCTACGGGCAGCTGGGAGGGCAGCCCCAAAGCTGTCACTGGAACAGTCACGTGATTCCCAATATGGCGACACCCAAGGTTCTCTTCAGGAAGGGGCGGAACCGGACTGTGTGGGCGGAGATTCAGATTAAAGCGGTGACCGCTGACTGCTCAGTTACTGTTTACCATGGAGGCGAACGGGTTCGGGTGAGTTTTCTGCTACACGCGCTGTGACTACCTTGCTTTCTGATCCGAGTCTTCAAATTCAGGGTTATGTCCTTAAACTCTTATTTTTCTGGAGATCTCCAAGTATTAACCCAGATCGCTAAGATTCCAGATCTTCCAGTCATGGAACAGAACCTTTCCGGCTCCCTGTCCCCTCTCCCTAAACTCCATTCCAGGAACTACCTTGCGCAACTGCGCCCCAAGATTTTCAGAGGTGACTCAGAACTTCTAACTAGCACCTGAGATCATCAACTCTGATCCTTTCTCTCTCGTTTTGAGGCTCACCCTGCTTCAGAAGCCGGTTACTCGCGGCAGGATCCCTAAGATTAACTTCTTTTCCCCAAACTTTCCTTACTGTATTTCCATTCCATCCCTAGTTCCTCCAGTCTGAGAAAACTGGACAAACGCTGAGGAGAGAGGCCCCAGTGGGGCCCCCCTCCTAGAGTCTTGTGCGCCGCCTGATAGAGAGGAGGCGGAATGGGTGGAGAGCCTTGGTTTGCCAGGGACCTGGAGGCGACAGATAGCGGTGCCTGACTGAACGCGCCTTCCCCAAACCCCAGTCCAGCGTAATGACATTTATTCCTACCCCTATCCTCCACCTGATCGCCAGACTGCAGAATTTTCCGGAGCTGAAGAATGACACGTTCCTCAGAGCAGCGTGGGGAGAGGAAACAGACTACACCCCCGTTTGGTGCATGCGACAAGCAGGCCGATACTTACCAGGTCAGGGGCAAAGCTATGGTCTAGATAAAGCCGGAAACTCTAGAAGGTGAGGTTCTTCAGGGGACGATGCTAACTTTGGAAGACTTCGTGGTTGAGTCCTGTTTCTCCTCTCGCAGAGTTTAGGGAAACTAGGGCTGCCCAGGACTTCTTCAGCACCTGTCGCTCTCCCGAGGCTTGTTGCGAACTGACTCTGCAGGTGAGGGTCCGCAAATGAGGGTGGGATTTGTGCCCGCGGAGTGTCACCTTACTAATATGTTATCCCCTACAGCCACTAAGAAGGTTCCCTCTGGATGCTGCCATCATCTTCTCCGACATCCTTGTTGTACCCCAGGTACTTGATTCTGATCCTGGAACATAGGCTTAAAAAAAAAATGCACTCCTTGGAAATCCTGTCTTGTCAGGTTTCAAGATGAGTACATAATTGGGTAGAGGGAAACACTAAGAAGTGGAGTTTGCTGAGGGTTTTTTGTTTTTGTTTTTTTGTTTTTCGAGACAGGGTTTCTCTGTGGCTTTGGAGGCTGTCCTGGAACTCGCTTGGTAGTCCAGGCTGGTCTCGAACTCACAGAGATTCGCCTGCCTCTGCCTCCCGAGTGCTGGGATTAAAGGCGTGCGCCACCAACGCCCGGCTTGCTGAGGGTTTTATTCTTTCCTTTCCTTGTTACATGTGGATTGTACAGAGCCCTTCCCTCTGCAGTTTCAGGCTGTGAACCCAGATATTTTATCCCCCTTAAGGCACTGGGCATGGAGGTGATCATGGTACCTGGTAAAGGGCCCAGCTTCCCAGAGCCATTAAGAGAAGAGCGGGACCTGGAGCGTCTACGGGACCCAGCAGCCGTGGTCTCGGAGTTGGGCTACGTGTTCCAAGCCATCACCCTTACTCGACAACAGCTGGCTGGACGTGTGCCGCTAATTGGCTTTGCCGGTGCTCCGGTAATTCTGCACAGGGCACGGACTGGAGCATGAAGAGGTCATTCTGGCAGGTCTGATACAGAGGAGGGATTCTATGCTGTGACATCTTTGTATCCTTTTGCAGTGGACCCTGATGACATACATGATTGAGGGTGGCAGTTCAAGCACCATGGCTCAGGCCAAGCGATGGCTCTACCAGAGACCGCAGGCCAGTCACAAGCTGCTTGGCACACTCACCGATGCTCTGGTCCCCTATCTAATAGGACAAGTGGCTGCTGGTGCTCAGGTGAGTCTTTAGTGACGGAACAGGCTACAGCTTGGTCTGTCAGGACCCAAAGCAATGACTTTCTCAAGTGGAGAAAGCAGGGATCTTACTTTTCCTCCGGTGATCTAGTTGGAGTATCTAAGTGGTTCTCAATCTTCCTAATGTTGCAACCTTTTAGTACAGTTCATGTTACGGTGACCCCAAACCATAAAACTATTTTGTTGCTACTTCATAACTGTAATTTTTCTAGTGTTATGAATCATAATCTAAGTATCTGATATGTGACCGTATGGGGGAAAAAGGGTCATTTGTCCTGAAAGAGGTCATGATTCACAGGTTGAGAACCACTTAGATCCTAGGAAATTAATTTTTTTGGGGATTGAAGCTGCTGTTAGACTGTGGAGAAGGCAAAACTCTTCTGCCTCTGTCTCCCAACTGCTGGGATTAAAGGTATATGCTACCACTGTCCGGCTGTTTTCTCTCTCTTTTTTGATTTTCTGTGACAGGGTTTCTTCTGTGTAGCCCTGGATGTCCTGGAACTTGCTCTGTAGACCAGGATGGCCTTGAACTCAAGAGATCTGCCTAAGGCCGGGTGTTGGTGGTGCACGCCTTTAATCCCAGCACTCGGGAGGCAGAGGCAGGCGATCTCTGTGAGTTCGAGGCCAGCCTGATCTACAAAGTGAGTTCCAGCACAGCCTCCAAAGCTACAGAGAAACCCTGTCTCGGGAAAAAAAAAAAAAAAAAAAAAAAAGAGATCTGCCTACATTTGCTTCCTGAGTGTTGGGATTAAAGGCACAGGCCTCTACTGCCTGACTTCTTTCTTTCCAGGCAAAACTTTTTGAGTGGAATTGAGATCCTAACCTCAGGGAGTAGAACAGGGTTTAAAGTCACCTGAGGAGAATTAAGGCATAATCCGTATGTGGGTCTGAGGTACTTCCTCTTTGTGTTTTATGCATTCATTTTTCTTATCACCTACCCACAGGCATTGCAGCTCTTTGAGTCCCATGCAGGACATCTTGGCTCAGAGCTCTTCGGCAAGTTTGCACTGCCCTACATCCGTGATGTGGCCAAGCGAGTCAAGGCTGGCCTGCAGAAGGCAGGGCTGGCGCCAGTGCCCATGGTGAGGACTGGGACAGGTTGAGTGAAGGTCTGTAGCACTTTCAGGGCTGAGTCCTGCATGGGCTGAAGTCACCACTGGAGGGCAGCAGAAGCACAGCCAAGAAAGGCTACTGGGCACAGCAAGGCTTAGAGTCAGAGATCTGCTCTTTTTTTTTTTTTTTTTCAGTTTAAATTTAGATAAGAAACAAGGTTGCTTCACAAGTCAGTTCCAGGTCCCTCTCCCTTTCCCTCCCCTTCTCCCATGCCCTCCCCCCCAATCCTCCCCCATTATCCCCTCATTTCCCCAGGGAAGGTGAGGCCCTCCATGGGGGTGTCCATAGTCTGTCATTTCATCCAGGGCAGGGCCTAGACCCTTCCCCAAGAGTTCAGGGTGAGAGTGCACCTCACATTGTTGGATGGGAGTCCAAAGTCCATGTGTATACTCGGGATGGGTACTGATCTGCTGTCCAAGGCTCAATAGATTCCCTAGGCCTCCTCACTGACACCCAGATTCAGGGGGTCTTGATCAGTCCCATGCTGGCTTCCCAGGCTGATGCCTGGGAGAGATCTACTCTTTTTTTCCAGATCATCTTTGCTAAGGATGGACATTTTGCCCTGGAAGAGCTGGCCCAGTCTGGCTATGAGGTAGTTGGGCTTGACTGGACAGTGGCACCAAAGAAAGCCCGGTGAGTGATGGAGGAGTGGTCACTAGAGGCTGAGGAAGAGGGGATACAATCCCTAAATACGCAGTGATGAGAATGTGACAATGGCTGTGTTTGCAGGGAGCGTGTGGGGAAGATGGTGACCTTGCAGGGGAACCTGGATCCCTGTGCCTTGTATGCATCTGAGGTAATAACTGGGCCATGCAATGGATGGTTTTATTATACCTGTTTTTCCTCTCCTCTATCCTATACACACCTAAGAAAGCAGGAAATTTTTAGCATTTCGCTTTTGTGGCTATTCAGTTGTCTGTCCCCTCCTCTCACCCAACCCAGAGCTTTGTGCTTGCTAGGCAATCTTTCTACCACTGAGTTCAATTACAAACCACCCCCCACTTTTAAGACACAGTCCCCCCAAGCTGGCCTCAAACTCACTGTGTAGCTGAGGTTTGTCTTGACCTCATCTTCCTGCTTCCACCTTCTAACGCGCTAGGATTGTGGATTACCCCACCACACCCAGCACTCTTCTTATGTCTTTGGTAAACATTATTATTGTGTGTTTGGGTCTGTGTCATAGTCAGTTATCTTCTTCTACCTTTCTATGGGTCCCAGGGATTGAACTCAGGTTATCAGGGTTGCATGGCAACCACCCTACCTGCTGAGCCACCTCATAGGCCTCTCATTTCTATTTTCTTAATTTCTGATGCCTCACTATCATGTACAGTACAGGGAGGACAGAGCCTTGCTGACCTCTCCTATTGACAGTGCTCTCTCGGTCCTCTAGGAAGAGATTGGTCGACTGGTGCAGCAGATGCTGGATGAATTTGGGCCACAACGCTACATCGCCAACCTAGGGCACGGGCTTTACCCTGACATGGACCCAGAACATGTAGGAGCCTTTGTGGATGCTGTGCACAAACACTCACGTCTGCTTCGACAGAATTAAGGATATGTCTTTCTGCTCAAGATCCACCAACAGGTTGTTTCCAAGAGAATAAAACATCCAGAGTTGGAGTCTAATATGTTCCTTTGTTTGTAAAGGTTTATGTCCTTATATGTCTCCCCTTCCTTCCTTCCTCTCCCTCTTACACACACACACACAGGCCTGGTTGGCCTCAAAACTCAAGAGACCCACCTACCTCTCTCTCAAGTACTGGGATTAAAGGTGTGTACCACATCAGGCCAGGCTCCTTTGTTCATTTTTCTTATGCCTCCTCTGTATCTTCTTCCATGAGTCTCTGGGTTCAAGTATCACTGAACATGCCTTACAGCATGAACGCTGGGCTCATACTGCCATTATGTTATCAGCCATCCAAGCCCAAGAGTGATATTAGGTATACCTTTCCAGGTAGTTGGGGCTATGACATTTATAGACAAAGAGTCGGGGTCCATAGGGCTTTGTGTCTGTGGAGGAAGGAGAAGACCAAAAGGGCACAGAAGTGGCTAGAACACTTGGGAGTTCCAGGGAGGAAGACAGTCTAGATAAACAGGAGCTAAGGAGACTTAGCTTTGCTACCACAGGATGGAAGACACAAAGATCCAGAGCTAAGCTGCTGGGATTGGAGCCTTAGGCTGGTCCATCACCAAGGCATGGAGGGCCCCGAAGCCAAGGTGCCTCTGGAACGCCGGCTCAGTGTTCGTAGTTTCTGAGCATACCCACGATTTTCTCAGAACCCTGGGATCCTGCTTATCATGTGACACTGGGACATGGCCGCTTCATTCCTAGGACAAGGTTCTGAGGTGCCTTAGAGCTATGGAGACGGGTGTGATGTGGGGAGTATTTTGTCTGTCCATTATTGTACATCTCTGTTTAGGCCCAACCAGATCCCTGTCCCATCAAAGGAGAAAAGGGTCTCATTTACTGGTAGAACACAATTTCTGCTTTTAGAAAAGGATGATCTTTTCTGTGATCCATGATTTATTCATAGAAAAGCACTGAGTTCACATACTTGCTAAAAAAGGGCGATCATGATACAGAAATGGGAGTGGCTTTTCCTTTTTTTGCCAACCCATTGGGCTGAGACAGTGTAGGGGCCCTTGGCTGGACAGTAACACATTAGTAGCCACGAACAGCAAATACAACTTACTGGTCAGTTTGGAATAAAAAAGATGACAAGTAATTTTCCAAAGAAAAATAAATCAGACAGAAAGGTCCTTAATTCATACTCTAGCTATACCACCCTCCCCTATCAAACCCCACCCAACTCAGGAGCTAAGACAAAACAGTAAACACCCAAGACACCTGTATCCAACTTCTGAGTGCCCTTGCTACCTCCTATAATTTCAGGCTAATCATAGGGGTCATGAAGTAGTAGGAACGTGACACACTGTGGAGGTCAGCATGGGCTGATGGGGACACCCACTAGGACTAGAAATTAGGAAGGGCAATGCTAAAGGAATACCAGCCTCAGCCTCCAGATCAGCTACCAGTAGGACCACGATGCATGTAGGCAGAGGAAGGTTGAGGTAGTCAGAGGAAGAAAACAAGTTTGTGTAAGAAGAACCGTGGAGTGAAAGTGGCCAATCTTAACGCAGAGGGACACTGGTGCTTCGAAGCGTATTTGCTGAGAGAAGGTAAATGGAGGAGGCACAGCGAAGGATAACAACGTTCAGCTAGCAAGAGACTAAGGAATGGGCAAGAGGGAGCTGGCAGAAAGAAGGCACACTCATGCATGAACACTGACAGACTACATGTAGGGACCACTCACCTAGAGGCATATGGTCAGCAGGCATACAGTTAGACACAAACATTTATACACAGGTACCCGTGTGTGCCTAGATACACATATACACTAAACATGGAGACATGAGTACACTGAACACTTAGATATGTATTACCACACACACACACACACACAAAACAGCAAACAAACCCACAGTCTATATGTGTCACATAATTTACACACACAGAACTGACGCAGGCATGCACATGTGTAACTCTGTGCACAGACACATGTTCTTATCCATCCAGATAAACACACGTACAAACTGGAGATGAAGCAGATTCTCTAACGTAAAGGTGACCAGAGCAGATGTATCATGTAAGCTCAGTGACTTCTAGACCTTCGTCTTCTCCCTGCACTTATTATTCAGGTGTTCACCAGGCTCCTGTGTGTGTGAGGCAGAGGCAGGAGCTTCAGTGTTGTCACAGCTTTGTGAGACAAATGTCTAAGTCCAGTCTTGACCTCTGCCCCTCAATGGCCACTAGGCTAGTTGTCCTATCTGTAGGCCATAGTTTCTGCACAGACAAGACTGGGATTTTAACTGTCCATTTTTCTCCCTGCTGCCCCGGCTTATCCACTGCCAACAGCATACACTCTCTCTGTACGGGAAACCTGAGAAATGGTTGTGAGTCTCCTCAGAAAACAAGTCTTCCTCCCACCCACAGCTACTTTAAGTGCCCATCCAATCAGAGTCAGAATTATAAATAGTTACAGCTTTACAATGCTCGACAACACATATTCTATCGTATTTACAGTACCATAAATGCTTCTGTTTCTCTGGTTAAGCAATCCCTGAGACGGAACAGTGTTCTGTGTTTGCCAAGGGAAAGGGGCCAATGGCCAGGACACGCAGGATATAGGGGCGTGAGGTGACATGTTGTGGGGACATCTGATCGGTCTGCAGGGCCCAGCTCCTCCAGGAACAGTGGGGCTGGAGTGAGAAGCTTGCCAAGGCAGGAATACTGGTTAAGGTTGGACTCCCCCCATCCTTAGGTCTATGGTACTTGTGGCTCAGCCACAAGTGCCTGGAGTCCTCTCAGGGTAGATAGATGTTTCGGAGTCCATGTCCTGACCTGGGAGCCCAGGCTGCCCTGGCAACAAGCTATCCACTTTCTCAGCCAAAGCGCTCCCGAACCAGCAGCATCAGCTTCTTCTTGCCTTTGTAAATCTGTTTGAGGTTGTCAATGAATTGGGCAAATTGCAAGTGACCATCCTGGGGCAGTAGGAAGGTCTCCCGAGCCTTGCTCAGAAACTCAATGAACTCTCCGTAATGGCGGGGACTGATGTGTGTTAGGCGGGAGTGTGTGGTGTTGATATAGGCATTGATGGTGGCGTCCAGTAGCTGGCGCAGTGGGGCTTTGTCCGTCGACATGAGCTTTCCAGAGCTGCGGCGGCCTGGGATGCCTGCTAGGCCCGGTGCAGTCACTGTGCACCGCCGCAGGATATCTGAAAGCACTGTGGCACAGTGCACACTCTTCACCACCAGGGGGATGAGAGCTGCCAGTTCATTCTTGCCCAGAGAGTGGCTGAGGGCGCAAGCCCAGAGCACATCGTTGATGGCTGGATGGGTGTCCTGGTTGTAGGCCAGGTTAAGATGGCTCATGGCCAGTGAGGCCAGCTTGAAGGCACGCAGCGGGTAGCCACGGAGCTCCATGTAGCGGGCAATAGTGAACAGCTGTGAATGAGTCATGCCGCCAGAAGCAGCATCAATGGCAATCTGGTAGGCTGCCTCAAAGGCGATGTGGTCTTTCTCACAGAGTGTAAGAGCTGATAAGGCACAGCTCTGTGGGTCCTTCATAGCACATTGCAGGGCCAGTGTGCGAGCACAGCTAGCCAGTTCCTCCCGCTGTGGGTAGTCAAGACTGAGGCGCAGGATGGTGGTGTGGGATACGGCTGTGGCAGCCACAATACTTGTAGCTTCGGTGGGGGTGAAGAGTGTGTACCAGCTCTGCAAGATGCTCACCAGGGCCCGAACACCTGTCAGGGAGAGCCTGTGCTCAGCAGTGGCTACTCGGACTCACTCCAAGTCTGCCCAGATTACCATTTTGGGTCTGAACTTGGCCTGCAGAGACGAGTTCTCCCTCCTCCTCAGCAGCCTTGAGATGATCTGAGGCAAACCAGGGCAAGGGGAACATCCCAGATGGCCAGACCCTGTTTGGGCTCTCTTCCCATCTCTTCCTTCCTAGGCCAGAGAGCTAAAGGTCTCTGCTGTGCCCTCAGCACTTCAAAAAGATGGAGCTACAGAGCCCCAGGCCTGCCTGCCTCAAGGCAGGGCCCTAGTTTCCCTGGGAGTTCTAGCTGAAATAGTTCTAGAATGGATCCCAAGCCTCCAAGTTGTCTATGGTTTTCCAGAAGCATAGAAAGAAACAGGGCCCACTCCCGCCCAAGGGAGTGCAAGGGGACTGCTGGCTGAAAATGCATTTTTTTTTTGGACATTTCTCTAATCAGGGAGGGTCAAAGTGCTGCTGACATCAGGGTGTGGTCCAAACAATGAGGGTGGGGTTAGGTTGACAGACCTGAGGCCATCTTCTAACAGCACATCCTTTCCCAGGCTGCCAGGAATAGAAATGTGACAGCTCTAAGGATTCACTGTCCTGTCCCAAACACTGGACCTACAAATTCCCCAAGAGGAAGAGGGAGGTGGGAGACTTACCCACTTCTGTAGCACAAGTAACCAACCATCGAACCATCTCTCGGCGCCTCCAGTTAAGGGTTGATAAGGTCATTCGCATTACCTAGACACAAGAGGCATTTCCAGGAGGCCAAGCCTAATAGATAGCAGCCTCTCTTCCCTTCTACTTTGTACTATTCTTTCATGAAAAGGACATTTTTTGTTTGCCCAAGACAGGGTCTCATGTAACCCAGGCTGGCTTTCTAGTGTCCATGACCTTGAACTTCTAATTGTTCTGCTTCTACCTCCCCAACACTGATCTTAGAGATGTATCCCACTATGCCCAGTGTATGCAATATTAGGGGTCTTGTTGCATGTAAGTAAGTACTCTACCAAATGAGATACATTCCCAGCCCAACAACAAATGTTTTCATTATTTAAATAGTGGTCTTTCCTCTGTGTGTGGATGTTTAATTTCTCCCCACCCTACTCTCTAGACATGAGGCTTCTCTCAGGACTGACAATATATAAGACTCTTATCATACCTTGACTAACTTGGAGGAAGTAGGGGAAGGTAGAGAAGATGGAGACCCTATAGTGCCTAAAGCTACTTTACTTCTGGCCTTAACTTTAAAACGGAAGTCAATGTTATAGAGTCCTCACCTTCTGTCTACTCCAGAACTTAAATTCTGGAAGACAGAAAGAACCAGACATAGCTATGTTCAGTCCTTGGAATATCTTTTTCTAATTGTCAGTAGGACAGAAACCTAAAGCTGGGACAGTGGTCTCATACCCTTACCTGTAACCCCAGCTCCAGGGCCACATTGAGCAGAGTGCTATCTGTGC